TTCTTTTGCAGGTGAAGATCCAATTTTTTCTAGCGTCATTATTGAAAGGCTATGTTTTCCACACCCAGTGTGCTTTGGTCCTTTATCAAAGGTCAGGTGTCTGTGGGCACCTGGTTTCTGAGTTCTCAATTCCAATCAATCAGTCTTCCTGTCTACTGTTGAACCCATACCGTCCCGTTTTGGTGACCCTGCCGATATAATAGGTTTTAAAGGCTGGGAATGAAAGGCTTCTTCCTTTTTTAAAAAAAAATAGTGCTTTATTTATTCCGGATTTCTTTCCTTACCGTATGAAGTTGGCGATTAATTTTTTTGTTGTTGTTTCTTTGGAGAGTTGTGCTGGGATTTGGATCAGAATTGGGTTCAATTTGTAGTCTTGATAATTATTGACATTTTCACCGTTTTCAGTCTATCTATCCAGGAGCACGGAGGCTGTCCCATTTGTGTAAGTCTCTGGTTTCTTGTCGGGATATTTTGCAGTTTTCCTTTTATAAGTCTTGTGTTTCTCTGGTAAGGCTTATTCCTACATATTTTCTCTTTTGTGTAGTTAGTGTAAATGGCATTGTTCTTTTAATATCCTTCTCACTGTCATCTTTAATATGCAAGAATCCAACTGATTTCTGTATGTTGGTGTTATAGCCAACTGTGCTACCAACTCCACATTCATTCCAGAGGCTTTTCAAAGAGAGAGGAAGAGAGGTTCATTTCTTTCTGCCTACACGGATGCCTTTAATATCTTTGTGGTGTCTTCTGGCTCTCGCTAAGAATCCCAGGACTATTTTATTTATGTGTTTATTTATCTCTCTTACCCTCCGTCCCCCAGGACCATTTTATTTATGTGTTTATTTATCTCTCTTACCCCCGTCCCCCAGGACTATTTTAAGTAGGAAGGGCAATAGAGAACAGACTCGTTCCCACCCTCCTGCTCTAATCTTTATTATTTCTTTTCTTCTGGTGATGCCAGGTTTGTTTCTTTGTATTTTCCTTTCTTTTGCGATGATGGGTCATGATGTTGATTTTGGTTATTTCTTTGCTTTTTGGGGCATGTGTGCCTCATTAGAAGCTCTGGTGGCCTTGTGGGCTGCTAACCGCAAAGTGAGCAATTTGGATCCACCAGCTGTTCCAAGGGAGAAAAATGAGGCTTCCTAGCCCGTAGAGTCACGGTTCCAGAAACCCGCCAGGATAGTCACACCCTGTCCTACAGGGTCTCCGTGCGTCAGAGCGAACTCCATGGCTGTGGGTTTGTTTTTGTTTTTGCGCCCTTCTTGCTATTCGTTGTCCCCCCAAAACAGCTTCTGGTGTGCTCCTAAGACTTTGGTATGTTGTGTTTTCACAATTCTTTGATTCAAGAAAACGCTGGAAAACTATCTTCTCTTACCCGGTGGTTTAAAAACTCAGACAGACAGACAGCCTCACAGAGCAGGGTGTTAGGCTATTACTCTGTTTCCACGCATTTTAGCGTCCTCTTGGTCTTCCCATTGCCCATCTCCAGTTTGATCGCTGTAATCTGAGAAGATGTTTTACAGTGGCATATCCACGTCTCAAAACGTACCCAGTCTCTTTTTTTGTGCCCATTTTTGATCCTGGTTTATGTCATCTTGGCTGGGCCAGAGCTCTCCCATGATGTGAGGCGAACAAACGGTTGTGGGGAGAACAGAGTGAGTGATGCCTCCTTAATGTGGTCATGGTCTTTTAGAGTGGACACAATGGAGGGGGACTTCGTAAGGGGCGTGGCTGAGTTGGTATAGACTGACAGTGTGTGGAAGCCAGCTCACTTCTACTGCTGGATATACACCCTGCATCTGTCACAGTGCCTGCCAATGACGTCAGCATACTGCGGGTGAGAGCCAGCGTGGATCCATTCGGTGTGGCATCTACCAACCCGTGGTCTCCCTGCCTCATCTTCCTGCTTCCTATTCATCAGCCCCGCAGTGACACGTGTCAGGAGATGCCTGCAGCCTCCATCTGACCCATGGGCTTGAGCTGGTCTGGATTTGCCTGCCTCGAAGACTGTGTGGGCCGCCCCTTGATGGACCCCTCTCTGTGTCAGCACACACCCCGGTGTCACCGGCTTTGCTTCCCTAGCACACTCAGCCTAACAACACCAGCGATGGTTAATGATTACTTTCCAGGTAATTGTAGCTTCACACGCAGTTGTACACAGCACAGACACCACGGACCTGCTGGCCAGTGTCTCCTGATACAGGGACTGGGCGCTGCCATCAGGTGGGCCCCCGGCAGTCTTCTGGCATTCCATGTGTTGTAAAGTAGAACTGAGCCGCAGAGTTTTGTAGACTGTAAGCTTTACAGGGTGAGGAGCCCTGGTGGCAGGGTGGTTGCAAGTTGGGCTGCTAACCACAAGATCAGCAGTTCAAACCCACCAACCGTTCTGTGGGAGAAAGAGGAGGCTTTCTGCTTCTGTAAAGACTGTCTCAGAAACCCACAGGGGCAGTCTGTCCTGTCCTTCAGGGTGGCTGTAGGTTGGCACTATCTCCCTGACAGTGGGTTGGGTTGCTTTGGCGAAGTTTAACAGGATGGGGTGCCAGTTCTTCCCTCACCACTGAGCCACTGGGTGGGTGATCTGAACCCCACACCACTGGGTTAGCCTCGATTTCAGAGCCAGCCCTCATGGCAAGCTGTCCCATGCCCGGGTGCCCACTCAGGCGCCCACACCTCTGTCCACCCTCCTCTTACAGCCACCCAGTACCACTAACACTCCTCCCCTCCCCTGAGGCAAGGCCAGGTGGGGAGGAGTGGCAGTCAGAGGTGGACCCCAGGGGAGGAGGCCCAGCAGGGGGTTTGTGTCTGAACCCAGCTGAAGGCAGGCAGACATGTGAGGGAGCAAGAAGCTGGTACCAGACCTCAGGTGGGACGTGAGCTCAGGGCCAAGGTCACAGGGCAGGAGACAAGCGATGCTCATGGTTGCCACTGCCTGGTCACTGCCCAGCAGGCACAGGCCATGCGAGTGCTCAGAGGGAAAGGGCACGTGGAGGGTAAGCAGGCTCTCTGGGTGGGGTGTGCCCAGGCAGTGATGCAGAGGGCAGAGGTCTGGGGCTGAGGTGGCCTGACAGGGGCCTGTGTAACAGGGGCCCTTTAAAGAGGGGCTGGGAAGGCTTGGAGGGTGGTGGCATGGCGCGGGGGGGGGGGGGATCCTCTGTGACGGTCCCTCTGGCTTCTTTCCCTTGGGGGAACTGGGATGGGGAGGGCAACCTCCCTCCCATCCTCTGATTGGTCACCAGGAGGTTAGTGCATTCTTGTGGGCAGGTTCCCACTAGATTCTCAGCGGTTCTCAACCTGTGGGTTGAGACCCCTTTGGGGGTTGAATGACCCTTTCACAGGGGTTGTCTGATTCGTAACAGTAGCAAAATTGAAGTTATAAAGTAGCAACGAAAATGATTTTATGGTTGGGGGCTCACCACCACATGAGGAACTGTATGAAAGGGTCGTGGCATTGGGAAGGTTGAGAACCGCTGCGTTAGAAAGTGACTGCCCTGTCCCATTTTCAGGGGTCTCCTTGTGCTGACTAAGGCCTGGGGTGGGGCCGGCCCAGGTATTTCCAGGCTCTGAGGCCATGATACCGTGGCTCTGTGGGATGGAGGGGTGCGGTCCATGGGGGAGCCCCAGCCCTGCAGGGCTGCACAGGTGGAGGCCACCTGGCCAAGGCATCTCCCCGAGCCACAGAGAGAGGGGGAGGGAGTAGCACCTGGGAGACAGACGTGGGACCTGGGAGGGTTGGGCTGGGCGTGCAGACACAACGGGCATATTGTGGGGGAGTGGGGCTTACCCCAGCCTGGTGGGCAGGGCGGGCGCAGGGCCCTCTGTCCTGGGGACAAAACGCACCCTCCATGTGCTGGGGCAGGTGTGAGGCCTGCACACTCAGGTGCTGCAGTCGCACCTGCTGAGGAAGGCTGTGGGCGAGCTCATGCGGACTGGTACAGTGTTACCACCCGGAGCTGTGGGCTCAGTCCTGCCCTACAGCTGATGGACTCATCCGGGCCAGCCTTACGCTCTCCGGCCCTGCGTGCAGCAGGCCTGTGGGTTCTGGCAAACGGGACTGGGAGACAGGCCAGGAGAGTGTCCCTGTCCTGAAGACGCTCCATCCTCCACCTACCCACCTGTCCTCCTGGGCCCCTAGCAAGAACCTTCTCACTTCCAGAATAATCTACAGCATGTTTCCTGCTGGCGGTCCCCAGCGTTTTAGAGAGGTGGCTCATGGCAGCTTGGGGTAGGAAGCAGAGGCGAGTGGCCTTCCCTGGGGTGGAAGGGTCCACCTGCTTGACCAGGAAGGCAGAGGAGAGCCAGTGTCGGAGCCCTGGTCTGATGGGGGTGCGTCGTAGGTGCAGGATTGTGCAGACCCACAGGCCAGGCTCCAGGAGGCCATGGGGGTGAGGGGGTGGGGACAGGGCAGGCCTCCTCCAATCCCCTCCTCTGGATGTGCCGCCCTGCTGGGGCAGCGCCCCTAGGTCTCCTGCAACGCCCTGCCAGGCATGCCAGAGCCACTTCCTGGGTGGCCTTGGCACCCGGCCCCGCCTGTCAGGGCCTGGCTTGAGGCCCCTCCCTTCCTGGGTTCCAGCTGGGCTCCAGGCTTCTGCCAGTTGAGGGCAAGACCCTGCCTGTAGAGATGGTGTGAGGTAGAGTGGAGAGAGCTGCTGGGCCAGGGACCATGGAAGCCCTCTGCCCCCCTCATCCTGAACACCAGCCTTGAGGTGTCCAGGGCCGTGGGCCTCAGCCAGCGGGGAGCCCATGAAGTGACAGGGACAGGCTCACCAGCCCAAGCCCTGTGTCAGCTACCACGGGCCAGGGGGGTGCTGGCCCAGGAGGGCTTGCGCTGAGCAGCGTGGTCACACCGGCCCTTCTGGTTTCTCCTGGCACTGTCGTGGGAAGTCCCTGGAGGCTCAGGGCTGGGCTGATGGAATCTGTGGGGAGCCTGCTCCAGTGTCAGGACCTCACGGGGGGCTGGTGACCGGTGGTGGCTGACTGTGGTGGCCGGGGCCAGCAGCAGCATGGAGCCCTTCTTTAGGAAGAGGCTGGCCTTCTTGTCCTTCCTATGGGACAAGATCTGGCCAGCGGAGATGCCAGACAATTGTGTGGCCCAGGCCTGGGACACGGAGCCTGGCCAGTTGGAGGAAGCTGAGCCCGTGGGTGCCAAGCTCCAGGGGCAGCTCTTCAGGGCACTGTGTGACTTCACTGCCCGCTGCGTGGATGAGCTGAGTGTCAGCCGTGGGGAGCTGCTCTTTGCCCTCCATGAGGACGGAGACTACCTGCTGGCCCGCCGGCTGTCGGGGCCACCCAGCACAGGGCTGGTACCTCTCACCTACGTCACCAAGGCCACACCGGACGACGTGCTGTCAGGCCAGCCGTGAGTACCTGTGGGGACGGGCTGGGTGGCAGAGTAGGGATGGGTGCCAGCCAACAAGGCTGTGTCCCTCTGTCCAACAACTCAGGGTTGCTTGGGGCCAGCTGTTCCTAGCCTGGGACCCAGAGTGAGCCCACAGACAAGTGTGGGTGCCCAGCCTCCATGTCCCCATAGAGCAGGCCTTCGACAAGGCCACTGCCACCAGGGGAGCCACAGGACTGGGGCTGTCAGGGTCTGGTAGGGTCAGTGCGATTGGGGCTTATCTCTGCAGTGGGCCCTGCCGGCCAGCCAGCCCTCCTGTTGAATCCAGCTCTGCCTTTAGGCCTTGGGCAGATGGAGGGGTCCAGACAGGTAGAGTCTTGAGCTTGACTGTCGGCGTGCCATGGGCCCCCCGATGTCTGTAGGGTAGAGCTGGGCTAGGTGCTGAGCGACCTGTGTCTAACCTCGTGGGCCCAGGTAGGACACGATAAGCAAGGCCCTACTTTATGCTGGGGGAGGTGGGGGTGGGGACATATGGACAGGAGGGTCATAGATGAGCATAGACCCCACTCACAGGTGGTCACATGTGTGGGTCCGATGTCACCCCAGCGTGAGGGATTGCTCCTAGGCACTGGCTTGGGGGTGAGCACCAGATAGGGAGCCTACCTATTTTCCCAGAGTCTCTGGGCCCCGAGGGGGTGATGACAGGTGGGTGGGGAGGCAAATCTGAGGCACCTGGGATCATGAAGGGAGAGGCGGGAGAGGGGCTGCTCCCAGGCAATTTCTGAGTGCCCTACTCACTCAGCCGCACCTCACTCAATCCCAGGAGCAAAACCCCTGAGGCCCCTCTGCCTGGCCTTGGGGCTCTCAGGGCTGGGGGGATGTCCTTCCAGCCTGGCACATGGTGGCTGTCAGGTGACAATGACAGAAGCTGGCTGCCCCCCGCCCCCCACCCCCAACACCAGCCCTTCCTGCACACACTGGACGGAGCTTGGGGCGGGCCCGGCGAAGACCAGCACCTCTCAGGCTGCCTCCAGCCTCCCTCGGGCTCTGGGCCCTCACACTGCCGGGCTTCACGGGAGGTGCCCTCCGAGCTGGGGGGTGGGAGTGGGCAGAGCCTGTGGCTGAGCACCTCCTGGAGGCAGTGGGGGTGTGGGTGCTGGGCTGCTCGGAGGAGGCTGCGGGAGCTAATAACTGTTTGTCCAGCTGGGACACGGAAGGCTGGCCACACCCATGGTGCCATTACCCCAGACATATGGCTGATCTTGGGGCCAGGGTGGCGTGAGGGGTCCCCACCCTCACACCCCAGGGATGGGCCCTGCCTGGTGGCTGGGAAACCCTTCACCAAGGGCTGGTTAGGGATGCAGACACCAGGGGAGTGGGGGGCGAGCAGGTGTTGGGGACTCCCTTCTCCCCCATTCATAGAGCCACTCAGTCCTATAAGGTGGCCTTCCTATGGGGAAGGGTCTGCAGCCCCTGCAGTCTGTGAGAGATGCCACTGGCTTCTAAACCCATGGGATCCGTCCCCAAACCTGCTGATGGTGTTGCTCCATGTTCTCAGGGTTCAAACCCAGCAGGTGGCTCCCAGAGAGAGTTGAGGCTGCCCTCTCCTGCAGAGACGATCTCCACATAGGGTCACATGGAGCCAGAATGGCCCTCATGGCAGGGGGCTCTGATGACCACACCCACATTACCCCTGGACTTGCCTGCTCCCTACCTCCCACAGGGCCTGCGATCCACCGAGGCGCATGCCGGTTGCTCTCCTAGGTGTCTGCTGCCTTGCCCTGGCCCCCCACACCTGTCACGCCATCAGGCTCTGTTCTCACAGAGTGCTTTAGCGCGCGCGCGCGCGCGCACACACACACACACACACACACACACAGCCCCACCTT